GGTGTACGATCCGTGCTAGGACTCGCTAAATCCAGTCTAGCGCCAGCAGATTCGCAGTCGACACCGTATTTCTCTCGAAGCAACTCGTTGTGCTTGCCTACTCGCCGAATGCACCCCTCTAGACTCTGAATACCCTTTAGACACCTTTCGTACGCATCTGTGGAAAGGATTCCATCGGTATCCTTCAGGTTGACGTCGATATCGTCCTTGGGGCTGGTCTTGCGTTCCATGAACTCTGCATGATCGCGATTCCATGCAGAGGAGCAGCTTCTGCGACGGGTCCCTCGTTTTCTCGCTCGTTCGGGAGGCGTGGATGTTGTGCACCTTAAAAAAGTCAATTTACTTTTCATATTTTTGTAGGTCCAGAATTGAAACTTAACTTTCAACACATTGTTGACCGGTCACGAGTAGACTCGCGTTAGCACTTGCGATTCATTATGTCGTAAAATTCCCGGTCAACAATGCGTTAACATGAACGGTTCCCTTACCTCTGCAGCATTCCCGCGATGTTCACGTACTCGTTGATGGAGTTCAGGTTCCTCATGAAGGTCGCCGCCTCGCCGAGGTACTCCTCGATGATGTTCCTCGTCGCTCGATCGTACGATAGATCCTCCTCGTCGTCCTCGGCGTTCTCGCAGCTGTCAGACTCGCTGCACGTGTTCTCCGACAACTCCTCCGCGGAGAACTTCACCTTCTTCTGTTTCGAGTCCCTTCCAAAGTCCACCGAGCCCTGACCATCCCTCTCCTCGAAGCTGGTCGACGGTATCTCCTCTCTCCAATCGCTCTCCGATGTCAAGCTGCTCTTTTCACCCTGCTGGGAATCGTCGGTCTCGTCATTGGACGATTGAACGGCACTCGACGTCTCCGGCGAACTTCTCTTCTTCTTCTTTTTGATGATGGACTTCAAAATAGCCTGCGAACCCTGCTTCGAGTCCTCTCGAGCCTGAACTACCCTGTTTTCGGGGACGCTGGAACTCGAGAACGATACCTTCTTCTTCCCGGCGCTGCTTTCTCGATTGGACGGAGCATCGAGCTCCTCGTTGACGTCTTCGTAACTGTAACAAGGTCTGCCCAGAATCAACGACTCGTAATCGTGTATCTGAACGATCTCCGTCGACTCTGCGAGCTTCATCTTAGGCAGCTCCAGGTGGGTGTCGTCCGTGTCGACCAATTCGACGTTTTCAGGACTCACTGACTTGGGACAATCCTTTTTCGTATGAGCTACGACATCGGGTGGGCACAGGCTCTCTCGTTGTTCGCGAGAATCCGCTTGCTTTGGCTTCGTCGTCATCGCCTGGCTGAACGCGTTGCTTTCGTTGTAGTCCAGACTGTCGTCGGAGAAACTGTGATCGTGTTCCACGTTGTTGTTTGTCTCCAGCACCGTGAAGAACGAAGGTTTCGCCTCTGACGTCTCTCCATTCGTAACATCGCTAGCGCTCGTCTGGTATTGTTGCAACGTCCCACCGTTTTCCGCGGAGTTCGCACAGTTCGCGCAGGACACAGCGAAACCGGCTACCGGAATCTCGCTGGGCCCCAGTTGCCAAGTGGCTGGTATAGTTTCTAATCCTCTCGCGTAATCGATAGAACGAATCGTGTTTACTGGCTCGGGAGTCGCCCACTTCCTCCACTGATCGTCGTAAACAGCAGCGCTAGGCCTTCTGAAATTGAAGCTTCGCTTCTTGGTGATGAACGCCTCCGTGATTAATCCATCCCTGATAAATCCTTCACCGTGACGTCCGCATGCCAACGAGCCAGGGTCTTCGCTCTTCTTAGGTTGGGACACGTACGATGTCCCCAGTGAATTCCTCAGAGTAATGGAATTCCTCATCCTCGTCCCCTCCGCGGTCACGTTCGTTTTGGAGACTTTGGACGCGTTGTTAGGATCCTGAAAGATGTTCTCGATCCTGAACACCCTGCCGTCGGTCTGACTGAGCGTGGATCTTGCGAGGTCCGAACGGAACGCCTCGTTACCTACGTCGTTGAACGCGTCTGTTTGGACTTCCCCATCTTTCGTGTTCGACTTCTGCTTTTCCTGCTCAAGGTTGCTCATTACGGCGATCCTGGACTCGAGGCCGCTGCTACTCTCGATCGTGATGTTGATCGTGTCAGGTAGAGATATGGAGATGACGCTTTTCTCGGGATTGTCGACCGGAGAACGGTTCTGAGGCTCTGGAGCGGGATTGCAGCACTGCCTGGAACATACCGGAGCTTTGTTCTCGACTTTTCGTCGATGCTGAGGATCTAGACGAGGGGTTTGAACGGCGAAGCTGCGACAGGACGAGTAGAGGGTGTTGGTGGAGCTGTCAGTGTGTATTCTTCTGTCTGCCTCCTGGCAAATGTCCGACACCTCCGTGCTGGATAGATTGCTCTCTGCGTAGTTCTGGGTATCGTCTGACAGGATCCCTGAATCGTTTCGAGGGGAGTGGATCTCGTAGTCGAACTCTTCTAGATCGTTTGCCAGACTGGCGACGTCTCTGCACCTGACGATGCTCGTTTTGGGCTTGTCGGTCGAGGTGGCGATCTCTTTCACTCGAAGAACGGGTGTTCTTTGATTGTCGAACGGTTCGTAGACTTCGTGATCGTCCGTCAGGACTCCAACGTCCTGGTGGATCACCTGGGGCGTTTCGGTCAAGGACGCGGTGTCCTTCGTGCGAACGGTCCTTACGATATCAGTCTGCGTGTCCACGCAGACACGTCTTCGTTTGCCCAGCATCTTTCTCGAGATCTCCTGAAGCTTCATCTTCGCAACCGACTTAACTTCGATGCTCTCTGGAGGAGATCGGACACCGGAAGCTTCCTCGGCAGCTTTTCTACTGGCGTACAGCCTCTCCGTGACTGCAGCCACGATTTCAGACCGCTTCGCACGCTGTATAGGCGTGTGAGCCCTGACGGATGGCAATTCTTGCTCTAGGGAGTCCTTCCTCTGTTTTCCTAAATTCGAGATGAGGATCTGCTCGTCCTTCGAGCTGCTCGAGCTACTGTCCTTGCTCGTCTTCCTCTTCAGGTTCTCCAAGCTAGGCTTCCTCGCGCAGTTCTTCGACTTCGCTCCTATCTGGCCAGCTGCTTCCTTCAAACTCTTGTCCGAATCGTTGCTGCTCTTTCTCTGAAGCTGATCTTTGCTACCTCTCCAAGCATTCCTGCTACCGTTCTTCCGATCATCGATCTCTCGGATGTTGTTTAGCTTCTTGGCTCTGTCCGAGACCACCGAACGTTTCTCTAGATTCGTGTGGGATCTCTCTAATGGAAATAAAGGCTCCTTCTTCTTCTGGATGGTTTCAACCGAGCCGAATTTCTTGGACGTGTGTAAGTTCGATAGGACAGAGGTCGGCAGGATGTCCACGGAATCCTGCTTACGAAATCTGGGCTTCTCGTTCAGGTTCGAGCCTGACCTCGAGAAGTTTGGTAAATCACAGGTCCGGTAAACGTACGCCTCGTTGTCCCCGGACGCGTGACATAAATTAACAGAGCTGCTTCGATCATCGATGCTCTCCTGCTTTTCCTGCTCCTCGAACACCTCGCGATCGTTCCCGGCCTCGATGAACTCGACGTCGATCGCGTCCTCGGTCGCCTCGTCCGAGCAGATCTCCTCTATCTGCGCCGAGGAGTCTTGCAAGGAGTCGTCCGGCTTGATGAGAACCGCGACTAGCGTGGGGATATCGACGAAGACGGACTCCTGGACCTCGTCGTTCAGCTCTGTCACCTTGGCGCGGTTATAGTTGCTCTCGAAACGATCCCTCGCGAGGATCTCGCACGAACCGAACCGTTTGAGGAAGGCGCCAGGCTCGCAGCCAACGACGCTGTCGGTGGAGTTGGATCTTCGAACGAGGACGATGCTCCTGGACCTCGTTTCTTCGATCTTCGTTTCCGTCTGGCTCTCCCGAGATCTCGAGTCCACGTCCTGCTCTTCTTCCTCCTTTCTCAATCCTCTGTACTCGAGATCTTTAGCTTGATCCTTCCAACAGCAACACGCGTTGCTGTCGATGTTCTGCAACACACACAACCACTCGTGTATCGTCCTCGATTAGACTAATTGCGACTACTCGCAATGGGAAAACCGACGCGGCAGCTCGAATAATGACGATCGGTAATGGGCCCGCGGACAGGGGAAGTGGACGAAATTAATTAACGACCGATTACATAATGCACGAGAACCGAAAGATACTGTAAAACCTGCCAAAACCCGATAAACCGAATGGAAATACGGATCACTCATTAAGCGCGCACACCTGCGAACTGTATTTTATCAGCAATCGTTCGATCGCGTCGAGAACGCGGAGCGGTCGTTCAATGAGTATCAAATAAATGATTCCCGCATTCCATTTGCGTAATGACGGCTCGGCGCGAGTTTATGTCCCGGCTACTCGATAATAAACTCCCGCGATTTGTCCTCCGGTAGGACCACCGGAAACCAGACGCGATTCGTTCTAGCCAAACGCGCGATTTTGTGATCGCAAATCAGAGTCAGTTATGAATAGGTATCCTTAGGCGCAATTTACAGTTTCGGTGGGTGATTAATTTATATTTGTCTGATGGCTGACGAAGAATATTTATTAACGCTCTTTGCTCATTCATTTAACTTGGCATATGTGATACAAATGAGGTAGCACTTAATCTGCCAAAATTTTACTAAAGATAGGAACCGATCTGAACTCGAATCATGTAAGATTTTAAATGTCGAATAGACTTAATACTTAAATTTCTGCGCTATAGATAGATTGAATAAAAGGATGGAAATATTGGGAAATATGGATATTTCCACTGACGTTGTCAGGAATCAGTGTGGATTATAAATAAGCGATCGGTCATTTTCCCTGGGTCCCACAAGGATACTTCCATTGGATTACTGGTTGATTTATTTTTATATTCATCAGCTGTTTAAGAGCTGATGTTTTTATTTAAATTTGATTAAAAGGATGGATGTATTTAGATGCAGAATGAACTTCTCCAATAATAGATTTTTGCTGGCGCTTACTTTTTCCAGTAGGAGCAACTTGAGCCTCGCCACTTCCGCCCTCAGCTCACGGATGACCCTCGCCACGGGATCCTCGTTGACCACTGGTCGATTGACCACGCTCTGCGCTCTTTGCGCGAATCGCAACGTGTGCGCGGTCTCGTTGTAACTTCCGCTGGCGGGTGATATTGCTGCAAGCGATCATAGTAGAGAGAATTCACTGTAATTAATTCATTCGATTCGTGATACACTCCCGGTGCGTACTGGCGCTCGACAGATTCCGTAATCGCGCGCTATTGGCACCTATGGATACTCCATTCGTAATCATGATAGTCGACGTTAAACTGAAATTAACGCTGGCTGACTGTGGGAAATATACTCTTTCTAAGGTTGTTGGTCGAAATGATCAAAGTAGATGTGATGGGCCTAATTGAATTCACTTTGATTTTCTACTTATTTGTGAAATATATTTTTGAAAATATATTTGGTGCTGAAGAAAAATTCATGGTCAATGTTTCTGGCAGATATGCTCTTCCTAAGGTAGTTCATCGAAATTGTAAAACTAAATAGAGTGGTCCTGATATAATTAGCTTTAATTTTCTACTTTATGTGAAATATATTTGGTGCCGAAGAAAAATCGATGGTCAGTGTGTCTGGAACCGAAACGTCAAGAAATGAATAATCCTATTAATCATACTCCTACCAGCGCTAGCTTCAATTTTCAACCTATCTACGAAACGTACTTGATAATTTATTAAATGTCCATCTCAGAATCTTAGCGCCTATCTATTCCAACTGCCTTGGCAATTTCTACCTGTCCATGAAATAAGAGCATTCAGCAACAAACAGCGAACGTTGATCACGAATCGGCCATTCGGAACGGCGTCGCGTATCATTTTTCCGCGTGTCAAACCGCGATAAGCCGCTCGATAATTAATCGCGGTGATTCGCTGCCCGGATAAAATATTACCGCGAATCAGGCCCCCGTGTCGCGGGACGATACATAAGACTAATTGAATTTCAGGCCGCAACGATCGATTAAATAAACATTTGTTTTGTTCGCGATTTAAATTGAAACGCGCTGGCGCGAAACTCGGACGCGATTCAGCGGCGTCGAAAAATCAGTGGTGTTTCCGGTGTCGCGAGGCGGAGAAAATTTTATTGGAATAATCCACGAACAAACATTTATTCGTCAGGGAATTATTCGGATGAGCCTCGATAGCCCCGATCTAAAGATGTGATTTAATAAAATTCTGAGTAACCTAAGATCGGAATTTTAAAAAAGTTTCATTTGGATCATTTTCGTTGCCTGACTTTCTTATCTCGCGCGCTGTGAAAAACGTCAGCGACTACATTCGCGATTCAGCTTGACAAAGTGATATGTGGGTTTTGGTGATCGTGGGAGGGGAAGCGAAGGGTGATCGTCTACCGTTCCATACGCGGTCAATCATAAACGCAGACACTGAATATTAAACGTCCCACCCCTCGCTGATAATAAACCCGAATGCTATTAGCAATTCAATTAGCCGTCGATGATCAGCGGTTTGGAATATTTCGCCGCGATTAATTATACGCGTCTCCGACGTGATACGAATATTTGGCGATTCTTTCGTTTCCCGTGGTAATTAACCGATCGTTTTTCTGGCGATAATTATATCGGGACGGCTTTCACGAAAACGGCGGAGTCGTCGAATCATACGTAAACTCACTTTTCCTTCGAACGAGTTCCACCTAGATCGAGACTTACTTCGTCCTTTTATTTTACCAACTACATAATCGCTTACATTCTGTCGATGTGTACTTAGAGTCTCTTCTACGTGCGGTATCTAACTACGGTTCAAATTCTACCAAATCTACGACCGTCCTGTTTGCAATACTCTAGTGTCGAACGTTCTCCGTCGCACCAAGACACCGATTCACGTTTGCGCAACTCGTTCCCGCGTGATTTTCAACCTACGGTGAAAAGTGCGAACGAATTACGTCTGTCTACGAGTAATCTGCGCGTGAACGTTGAAAAATCCTTCACGTTTACCGAGTAGTGAAGCGATCGGTTTCGATTAGCTACGAGGACGGGCGCGACTGCTACGTCGACAAGCTGAAAAAGAATTCGTATTTACCGATTCCCCCTGTTACTGCATTTTCGCGACGGTTATCGAATTTTAACCGGGCCGCGCCTTAGCTCGCCTGGAAAAGCATTTAAACCAATTACCATCCAGCCTGAGTTGGCGCTCCGGTATCGCGGGTATAATTTCATGAATCAGAGGCTCGCGATAATAATTCTTCTCTGGCAATTAACTAGAATTTATGGAAAGCTGGAGTTAAGTGGTGGATGAAAAGGGGACAGACGGGAATAGGGCGGGTAGGGGAGGGGGGGGGGGAGGGGAAGGGGTCGGAGGTTAAAGATGCCAAGAGGGGAGAGTCGGGGATGGAAAAAGCGGCGGGCAATTTTTTTGTCGCGTCCCGGAAGCCAGAGTCGTCTTCCCAAATTAAATATCGCGATCTCGGAGCGACAGGACCTCGAGAGGAGAGAGAGAGAGAGAGAGAGAGAGAGAGAGAAAAAAAAAGAGTGAAATGGAGTGGTAACTGTGTTTCCGATGGAACGAGGCGATCCGTAGGAGAATCTGGAACGTAAAACGGATTACCTCCGATTCAGAGGGAAAAGAAAGCCGCTCATTGGACGTATAAATCATCGTTTAAGTGGAGTAAGATAGCAGGGGAGAGAGAGGACCTTCTAAAAATAAATGCAACGCGATAAAGAGAGAAGGGAGGACAGGTCGAGCTTACGGATCGCGAGGGTGGGAAAAGTAAGAGCAGAAGAAGGGAAGATCAAAGGGAAGACACTTACTGGCGAGCATAATGGTAGTGGCATTTCCGCCAAGTGCGTCCTTCAACAGCCAAGTAAGCGAAGAATCTCTATAAGGGATGAACCTCCTGCCTGGACCACTTCCGGCCGAGCCTCTCTCCGCAAGGGCTGATATTACGTTCCCTAGAGCCACTAGACTCTTGTTTATATTCGCACCCTCCTGCAAAGACACGCATCGCGCACAATTTTTTTTTTTTTCTCTCCTTCTCCGCGATACTTCCTTGCTGCCTCCGGTCGCGCACGCGGTCCTTGGAACGCTCCGTCGACCACGGCTCTCGCGTACTAATCGACATGCATTCTAATAAAACAGGACCGCTAACGAGTCGAACATAAATATATTTAACCCTTTGAGTGGCAGATAAATGCCAGACAATTCTAAGCAAAGACACACGATCGTAAACAAAAATGTCTATTTCGGTCAATTTTATTTCAAGGTTCATGAAATTTGTACCATGACACCAAAAACATGTTTCTTCGTCAGCGAAATGATAAAAATGAAATAGGTTCAACAGAAAATAAATTTGTACAAAGAAAGCGTTTTCACAAAAACTTGATCTTGAATTTATCGTCTGTTGAAATAAATCTTCTCAGTTATTTTTTCTTGATTCGTAATCGTTATACGTGAATCGATATGGTTTTTAAATAAGCATTCGGATAGAGCACTTGCAGCTTCGAGCAGCGATATATCGCTCCTTGCCGCTCAAAGAGTTAGTACTCGTCAACCGTGCGCCACCTGTGACCGTGTATTGGCTTACTTTTTAAATTCCACATAACGCTTTGATAAAACAGAGTATCGAATATTAAACTATGGTACTTCTCTCGTGGACACCGCTGAAACTCAAACAAAGACGGTTAGTTCTACACCTTCTGAAACGTTTGAAGGCGTTCGAATCCTGTCAGAGAAATTTTGAAAACGTTCCCTGGGATTATCGATCCCCGGTTCCCTGGGTGCTTGGAGCCCCGCGCCATTATTTTTAGTAAGTGACTCACCTTCAGTCGATGAACGCCGCTGCACGTGGCCGCACTTTCGCTGCCCGCTAAATCGACTAATCGTAGCTTGCTACCGCCTCGCGATCTTCTCGAAGAGGAGTGACCGCTGCCGACAGCGAGGTCCGACGACTCTGGAGAGACGGCGATGGTCAGCAGAGCGTGGCTGCGACTGCTGCTTGGGTTCTGCAGGGTCGACGCTGTCTTCCTGGCCTTCGTCCCTTCTTCCACGTAGGACATCAACGAACCCAGGGTGCGGACCACGTGGTGGGTCAGTCCTGGAAAGGAGAAGATTCTGAAGAAACAAATGCGGCAGCGAGGAGCGGGAGAACTCAGAAGCCAGATTTGCGAAGAAGAATATGTTGAAGGTTTGGGGAGTTTACTGATTGAACTCATAGAGAAACTAGATAGATAGGGCCACTAGAGGCGCAGACAACGAATCGAGAATAAAAGGAAAATACGTCTCATTTTCTGAACGGTGCAATTTCCAAAAGACTAATAATATTATAATACTACTAATACTAAGCAACCATCTCGAAGTCAATCACGACGAAGTTCAATGCACACACAACCAATAATCAACCGATCTTTTTTTCTTTTATCTCATCGCCATCCCTGTGTTTAAGAGGTTCTAGATCACGACTATTGGACTGGGTAGATCGCGAGGCAGGGATCTCAGATTGTCAGTACCTTGAACATAAGGGCCCAGTCGAGGATGCTCGCGAACTCTCAATCCGCTTGTACTCGAGGACGGCTTCAGAAGGTCCCTCACCCTCTCGTTGTATATCTCCAGGTAGCTGAAACAGAATCCACTCGATGTTACAGTTTGTCCGTTGTATGTGATCGATCCTGTTCATTTGACGACCCCTGCTAATGGATTACAACAGTTACCGGTCGTTAATTATAGGCACTGAGCTTCGTAGGTAACTGTGTGGAATGGTCTTGACTCCAGAACGTCTAAAAATAACGTAATATCGCCCGAAATACTCATTTTAATAAAGCTTCGAGTCAGAAATCTTCAACGATGATGAAAAGTACGAAAGAGAACGTGCGTTATCCATAAAACAAAAAAGTGGCCTCCGAAATGAATTATTTATTATTCAATGGCCAAACAAATTTTCTCGTTTAATGATGCCAATCTTTATTTATCGAGGAAAGTTATTCTAAATAAAAATATTATGACTATATCGAGTGCTTTGTCACTCGAATTTAAGATTTTTCAAAAAGTAGAGTTGATCGATTATGTGCAGCAAACGACTCGTATCGTTCCGCTGTGCTGAAAGGACGCCACAGATATATCTAGCAAAGAGGGGACGAACTTTCTTTCGTATCAATGATATCACAGCCCACCGGAGCGATCGCAGAAAAACGAACAATTGGTCGATCGTCCGAACGAATCGATGCATCTACGATTCTTTGCCAAAGAACCATACGGGCCGAAGAATGGTAATTTATCGGTCGACGGGCGCATACTTTTCGTCCGAGCGGTGCTCATGGGCAACCGCGAGCTCCTGGATCCTCTTAACGTCATTATCTGCCCCGCTGTGCCCGTGAAACGTCCGCACGTGCGACCGTAAATCCGCTTAACAACGATCGGAGATTCCATCGTGCGCCTGGAGAAACACTTTCCGCTCGGATTCCTACCAGCTTCCGCTCTTGGCCTTTTCTATTTTCCTGAATGTCCCCAATTTGAAAGCTGCTGGCCACGTTTAAACGCGGGACAGGTGTAGAATGACGATTTCCCTCGTGAGAGGCTCGAAACATTAGGATCCATAGGCGTGACTGACACTAGGCGTGATCAACAATTTACATAAACGATCGATCTTTGAATTAAACGCTCTTAATTCGATCAAGAATTTTAATCTTTTGTATTACAGTACAGAGGCACGATTTATCTGGAAATCTTTCAAATTTGTCAATATTGGTATCGATGAAACCTATATTAGCCACTTCTATAAAATCACAAAATATCGAGTAGGAATGTTAGACTCCTTACGAATTTAATTTACATCGTAAAATATAACAATAACACGCTAAACTTAAATAAACGTAACCCAAGCCAAACAATTGAGACCACCTTCCCTAACCTGATCTATACTAATCAAACCCTAGACAGTCGCACATAAATATCCCCCAGGCACAATAGTCGCCAACTACCAAAATCGTCCCCCACCGGAAGTGACTCGGTCCCCTGAAGCCGCGATGACCTCAATCATCGCGACTGTTTCGTATTTCTACATCGCCTGAGCTCGTCCATCCCCGTCGAAAGAGCTTTTGACGTCACGTACTTCATTCACGGAGCAGAATCAAATCCGAAGTAGATAGAGACGTTCGTGGTCTGGCCCGCAACCGATGGAAGTATTCAGGAACGCTCGGGGGCGAACGCAAGCCTCATTCATTATGGGAACACGTCGGCGAACGCGTTTCCGGAAATTAGAAAATCGAACGAACCGCCTCGAAATCACCCCTGCGCTCGCGTTTGATTTCCTTGACCCGTTAACCCCGATACAACCTCCAAGACTGAGGTCGTTTCTTATGCAGCGCGGGGCTAAGAAGCGAGTGCAATATTCAAGATGCAGCTTAACTTTTCACTCGAAATTTATGCCCCGGGGCGGAAATTTCGCGATGTCTGCGTTTTCTGGGCGGTAAAAGAACACCGATCGAAGCCACCGACCGAGAGTTATTTGCATTTACGAGCGCGAAATTCGCGGGTTGAGAGCGTTTCCGCGTTTCCAAAGAAAATTGGACCGCGACTCTTCGAGAAGCAACCGTTGCTTTGTTAACTGGGATTTTTTTTTTTTTTTTTTTTTTTTTTTTTTTTAATCGCCGCGGCGACTCGCGAATTAAGGGGAAAAGCTATTTAAAGTTTCGAAGATAAGTAGACACCTTTGTCTGCTGTTACTCTTTTCGCCGAACGAAGATACCGATTTAAGTGCCTCGAAAGAGTTTCGGGTGATGGTAATGTCCTTGAGAAGGGAGAACTATAAACACGTAACGCTAAATGCATCTGTAATTAGCAGGAGATTCGCAATTCATAGAACAAAATTTTCATTGGATACTTGAATCATCTTTGTTCTGAAATATGAAATTGTAGAACTGATTGCTCGGCTGCAGGAGTAATACCAGATTTTTAACGTTAATAACTCGCAGAAAAGTAATTATTCCAAGAGAAAATAATCTTTAGAATAAACGGAGTGAAAAATTGTTGAGATGGTTACCAAACCGCAAGAATAATATCAGACTTTTTGATACACCGAGCGTCGAAACCCACGGAAAAGTAATTATTCCAAGAAAAAAATAATTTTTAAAAAGAGCGAAAGGTTGTTTGTTAAAGCGCGGAAAAGTCGTTGGTTGGAGTGGTTTAAAGTTCTCGAGTGGCTCGCGAGGCCCCCTCGTTATCATCGGCGGCGATAGCGCGTCGAGGAGAGAAAACGAAAGCCGAGTCTCGTGCTAGTCGGATATTACACGGTGTCGAAATGACAATCGATCGGCGTGGTATCGACTGGGGCCTATCGCCGCCCAGGAAGGAAAGGAAACGAAGAGGACGATCCTCCGAAAACGTCGAACACGTTCGAAAGTTTTCCTTTGTTTCAGATTGCGACGTTTGAACGCGGCGAATAGAGAGGGGGCAAGGAAACGGGTCGACGAGGCTCGGCTATTTCTGATAATCGATGCACGCGAAAATTGCAAGCCCCGACGAACAGGTTGATCGTAAGAGCAACGGCTTTCCTCTCGCCAGTTCGCGCGAAAAGCTGGTAAAGAGCCCCAAAGGGTCGACTTTATATAGAGAGACTTGCAAAGAGTTGACTGACCCGGTTTTTAATCTTGCGCACACTTTAATCTTGATTTTTCTTACGTAAGCACTTTTAGTCAGTCCTTGGAACTTGGTATTCAAATTAGAGGGACTCGAGAAAAGAAAATTTGTACTGCAACGTGTCTTCTGGTATCAGGAGCACGAACACTGCGTTTTATTCGGTGTACGATGTTGTTTCGGCGATGAATTAGAAGTTCGAACGCTTCGCTCGTAAATATCGATCACCGATTACTGGGTCACGAGGGGGAAAACCGCGAGGCAGCCATCCTGCGAGGTGCAAAATCTTTCGCATGCATAAATTTCACGTTTGCGAAGCTCGGCTGAGAAGATTGGCGCAGGACGTATTCGAGCGAGGCGACTGGCTTCGATAAAGTTCGATCAAGGGAAGTGCTCGACGATTATTCGACCAGATGCAACTGGAATCGACACACTGTTGGGTAATTGCTGGCTGAAAATCTACTTCGACGGACTTGTCTCAGATAAGAATAAATTGTTGAAGGTGAAATTTCCTGGTGAAATTTTATCGATTTTTAATTCAATTAAAAAGAAATCAGTGCGACGACAGGAAGAAGAATTTTTCAAAGAAATCGGTAACGAAAGGGAAGTAATACTTCTTCAGACGAAAGAAAAGTGCTTTTAAGTGAAAATCCATGGCCGATATCTTCTCGTTTGAGTACTACTTTTTTGACTACTTTTTTTCGTAATTTCGCGTATATTTAAGTTGGTGGAAATAATAAATTTAATGAAACATAACGATAAGTAAACTCATTACATGAAAAACAAAATAATTCGAGGCCAGTTACATGGGTCCTATATATCGCAGCGTGCGAGCACAATTCGATAAACGATAACCGACGGCCAAACAGAAGCTGCGAGCTACGGATCGAATTGAATTTGCGACCGAGGTCTCGATCGTAATTACCGAGAATCGAAAGCACGTAGTTGAATTGATGCTTCGGCATGGGAGAGGGGGCGAAGAGAAAGAAGGAGGAAAGAGAGGAAGGGGTGGTCGGAGAGGAGAGGGTTCTATCGATCAATCAGCCATAAGTAATGCGGAGCTTTTGATCGGTTACCGTTTCATTGCGGATGGGAAGAGCGACGCGGCATGCTATCGCGTACGAATTCGGCGACTTAATCACATTAAACGCCGATACCTAATGACGATGGCTTCTGGATCAATTAGCGGCGGACGACGGATCATTTATGTACATCTGGATCATTAACGTTGCCCATTCAATACGCAAATTGATTGCTCGGCGGTTTATGATTGCCGCGACGAAAAAATCTCGTTGGAATGCTGAATGTGCGTAATCGATACTTCGATTACTTGCAATTAGCAATCTGGCTGATCGTTACTCTTCGAACTTCGTTATCGTCGGTGCTGTTGGGGTTGTTGACAACGTGTCTTGTCTTGGCATTCAAAAAGAAAAAAGAAAGATATTTCCTGCCCTTAAATCTACTTTCTCAATCTGTCCATATACTATCTATGAACACACTGTTCACTCTTCCTTTGAAAACTATCGGTACCTCCTACGAAAAAGGACTATTCCATGCACACACCAATAACACGTTTCGGAACATCCGAATTCCAATTGCTCGCGTAAATGATCGATGACGTAAAAGTGTAAATCGCGGATCACGAGCGCGGAATCGCGTGCGAATGTCAACGATTACACGAAACGCGGCGATTTTCGCGCAACATTAGCCGTTGTCGCGTTTACTGCGCGCGACGCGTCAATTGTAACAGGATCGTTGTTAGATCGTAAATTAAATTATGCCCAGACTCGGTCCGCGTTTATTGACGAGTACGATTCGCTAATGGGTATAATTAATCGCACAACAAAACCGGAATATCGATCCGATTCCCCACGCGGCGTGCACATATTCAGCGCTGTTCCTCTGTTGCGCTGTTCGTACGCGTCGAACACGGTCGCAGACGATACGAAAATATTCATGAGAAGTCGGTTAATCAACGCAGAGGCC